GGCACATACAAATGAGTAGTGTGAAGGAAGAAACTTCTAAAGTTGTTAATCATCTCTTAAAATTTGGTTAAGTGAAACTTAGGTTCTTCTTAAATGATCTGAAATCCATAGAAGTGGACAAAAAATGATCTTACATCTTTTTTATTTCTTGGTCAGCATCCTCTGCAGCCAAGTTTAAATTTTCTTTTGAAAACCAAAACACAACCTCAAGTTTATTTATTCTCAGAACGGGACTAATTTTATCAAGGCGCCACGGAGACCGTTAAACGCGGCAAATCCCATTGCAGGATGCACTTTATCAAGCCATCTTGGATGGCTTTGCTGTCAATACCACCTGAAGGCTGAAGCAGCATCAATTGGTTTGAATTTGACGCAGTTTCGTCCGTACATTCAGAATGACCCAGACATGTTCAGATGCTCCACATATTTGAGAATGACTGACCCCACAACATGGACAGGTTGTAAAGTTGTTAGCACTACAGCATAAGCATTCAAGTCGGCGGGAAGGGGCGGGTGTGAGTAGAAGAATGCTGAAGATATTGTGGGATAGGAGGCTCAAAAATGCCGCCGAGGAGGTAGTGCCTCACTCAGAAGCCTTCTCTGTATTGGACGGAGGTATTGAATTTGGAAGGTTTGTAAAGTTAGTGTCTGTTGCGTGATCTCTAAACAGTCCTAATGCCTCCAAAGCAAACAGTAGCGCAAACTTCTAGCACATTTCATTGAGACCTACTTAGTCAAGCATAAGCCTCTCAACAGCACAAAATAGCGTACATCAAGTCAAAACGAGCAATAATAGATAATTATTAAGTAAAAACACAACAAGACATCCGTAATACGCATTGGTAAATGCCGAAAAAACTAGGCTAAAGCCACACACAAACACATAAAGTAGAGGGGATAGAAGGAAACGAATGGGAGTGTTAATGAAGATAAAAATCTGTTCAGATATCTCAGACTCTGTGGAAAGGGTGAAAGAAGTTGGAATGAGTAAGGAGCAATAATATGAAATGAATGCCGAGGCTGAAGTGAAGGGATCGCTAGGGATCTTCCAAAAAACAGAATGCATATTGCTCTATACAGGTTTCTTGATCAAAGATAAAATACACTTCTAAGCATAAACACAATCTTTGATTTGTGCGATAGTGCGACCATTGCATAATGTGGTTCTGCTTCTCTCCGCCTCTCTTTCTAGCTCTCTCTCTCTCACATCAGCGCTGCCGAACACTGCGAAAGAACAATAGAGAGGAACGGTAACAGGTCTTGCAACACACAGGAGGGATCTAAAACTTGTTTCCACAAGCTATTCTCCAAAGCATTATGTGACCCGCTTTTAAAGCAAAATTCGCCACTAGCGCAGTTACGAAATTGTACAACCGAAAAATCGACGCGGCTATAAAATATTTACCTCCTGTTGGAGTAAAATTGTAGACGTTACCCCCAGGCAGGAGAAAGTGCGATAAAGATATCATTTCAAGCAATCCAGCAACTGACATTCAAAACCCAAAATTCGCCTATGCAAAAAGAATGCCTTGTTGGGTGACTTGGTGAGTGCTTTATAGTAGAGGAACGGAACGATGGAGAGTTTGATATTTGCCAAAGGAAGGACAGTGGAGTCAGTCACACAATAACTGAATATTAAATCTCTCTTTACCGAGTAATGTTACCGGCAGCTGAGCAATAAGTAAGTGTACAGAAATCGTATGGCTAGGTTTGAAATTGATAGTTGTGAAGTCAACTTGTTCAAAGCAATTTTAAGTTCGTATGCTATTGAGGTGGAGTGTGTAAAAAATTCAGTGCCTTTATGCCACTCCCTGCCTTATAAAGGGTCTGAAAGAAGTTTTGTAAATGAATCAGATGTGGAGTACGAAAAGCTATATACCCCGATTCTCGGGAAGAGGACTTCGAGGGACCCGATGCCTGCCCATCGTTCTGTGTGGGTGGTTCTGGTTTCGACTTCTTAATGCGACGATTTCGTTCATAGACTAAAATGAAGGCGGTGAGGACTACCAGTTCCACACCAATACCCAGAAGGGGCCAGAATGTCGACTTTGAACCTTTAACAGAGAAGAATTAATGTATGATTAATAGTATATTTGTACTTATGGTAAAGCTGAAACGGTAAGATGGCATTTAGGTGATTGGTACAGTTCTACACCTAACTAGTCTAGAAGTCTGAGGAACATAAATCTGAGGTCTAGTAAGCTGTAGATAAGTTATGAGGCATTGGCTTGTGCCTTCGGAGTAGAAACTGCTGCCTCAAATATTCCCACAATATCTTGTACCCCGCCCAACGCATTCCCCTCGATTAAGATGACTCAGGCCTTATCGTTTAGTTTGAATCTTGCCTAAGAACCACTCATGCTTATGTACGGTGCGGCAACAAGGATTTATCGGCAACCTATAGAAAAGGGCAGCTAAAGCAAACACAGATGCTAAGCATTAGGGACTCAAAAGAGACACACTTTTAACGCGAACAAAGATGCCATAGCTGTTGTTCCCTACACTGGTCCGGACGGAACAGACGTATACTGCACGATCAGCGGAGGTTAGAACAGAGAAGGCGAGAGTATCATGATGGCTTTGCACGGAGAGGAGATGCACGCGCCCCTCCGGATCGTACGTGGACGAGGCGGCCAGTCGACCGGTAGAAGGGTCCTCAACCCGCAATAACTGACTGTTGCGCCGCCATGTAATATCCCCAGCTTGGGCTCGTGGGTAGGCGATTATTTCGCAAGTCAGGTTGTATGCTTCGCCTTCGTACACCGTCTCTGCCGTCGGCCGCACAACCAGCACAGGTGTTACTGAGACATCAGAAAAAGAAGGGGCTCACATTTGTAAGCTTCTCGCCAATGTTAAGTCCACTTCTGCAACTTCTATAGCAGATCT